GTACTAAGCAAAGGCAATATTAGACTTCAGGCTTCTATCTTAATGCTTCTATATTTTCGATCCCTCAGAAAAGAAAGAAGGGGTGCACTGCTTCTTAATGCTTCTTTTGCAACTCTTCCCCTGTGAGCTCTAAGATGTGACCTCCTGGGGATTCATACATCCGGCACTCCTTGCTGTGCCAGAATGCACCGGAAATACTGAAACTGCAACATCCGCGGCTTGTCCTCCTCCACGAAGAAGCAGCTCTTCACTAAAGTAAGTCGCCCATCTTGCTTCAGCTTTCAAGTTTGAGAATAAGTCGAGGACTAAGCATCCCCAATGCTTCTAATCATTCGCTTCACCTGACAAAACTGAAAACCCTCATCCAGCTATCCTGAGGGAAACTTCGGAGAGAACCAGCGACCCCGAGGGAGACTTCGGCTCGATTAGTCTTTCGCCCCTATACTCAAGTTTGACGAACGATTTGCACGTCAGTGACATCCGCGGCTTGTCCTCCTCCACGAGAAAAGAAGCAGCTCTTCCCTTAGAGAAAACAAGATAAAAATAAACAGCACCATGCAGGTGCAGGCGTATTTGCAGCATAATTGAAATTGATGTATCTCCCCTCTTCACACTTGAGTTGCACTACTCAAGTGTGATGTACAGCAAGAAGCAGTACTCCCCTCTTGATCTTCTAAGTGTGATGCACAGCCTACTAACTTAAGAGAGACTTTGTTCTTACTTAGAAGAGACTGAGACGAGCATTACTTAGGGAAGATATTTTTAAACATAAGTATTCTGTGTACAACAGCCTTAATGTTGTCCACAGCACGCAGTAAGATAGAAGTCCACAGTCCAAGAGAGGAAGATATTTTTTTGAATTCTCCTGTTAGACCGAAGAGACTTCTTCTTCTCCCGAAGTTGCTTTATCATGATACATTTAGGATGTCAGCTGCATAAAGGTCTACTGCTAGCCAGTCACAATCTAAGTATATTATCAAGCTCTGCCACATGCAAAAGGGTTAGCTTGGAAAGTGACCCGACTCATAGAAACTTGATGGGATCAAAGGTGAGATTAGAGGACGCTGCGGCTGATTGAAACTTCTTTATATATTAGAACCTAATGATACTGAAGACCGTGGTGCACCGTGCAGCATGAACTGAGCACGACAAGCAGAAGGCGCAGAATCTTGTGTCATCTTGGAAAGTGACCCGACTCATAGGATTAGGAAGTAGAAGTAGATAGATTTAGATCTCTAGACCACGATGCCATAATAAGCGAGAAAATTATAGCCGTAAGATCGAGAAGCAATCGATCCTGGTTTTTTCATCGTGTGCTCCACTTCACGTTCTTCAGACACTATCCAACCAGTGACTTCGTGTGCTCCACTCCGTTTTCTTCTGCGACCACCCAGTGACGTGTCATCGAATCTTGCAGGTTAAACTCGGAAGATTAGAAGCCGGAATAGGATTTCTTCCAGCCTTGAACTCAGAAACCTTCCACATATCGTGGTTTTAGTTCGCAGAAATAGTAGCTTAATAAAGATATGTAGCAGGTCGCAACGTCATCGTCAACACCTACTCACAAGATAAGAAGTGGTGCCAGATGTAGTTTACAAGAGCAAACCCTTCAACTACGATGTCAATATCCTATTGAATGTCTGTAGAACTAAGGAGCACCATGGACATTATCGCCAATGTCAACATCTTAATGAATGTCAGGTCTGCATTCCTCTAGACAGAAAAGACGGAACCAGCCGTCAGGTTTCTCGGTAAGTTGCATCCTGGTCGAGCACGTATTGCTCGCCCTAGTACCTCGCTTGAATTGCTTCGTCTCATTGAAAGGCGTTAATTACCTGGTGTGGAAAAGACGAGAAGCAAGTTTATATAAAATACTAGTTTGAAGATGATGACGATGATGATGATGGTGATGTCTTCGTTCTGGAAATGGGACTGGTGCTCGACATCAGTATAAGTTTGCCTAACATGATCGACAAGAAAATCTAAAACTCAGAATCTGTACCAGAGCTCTGAATTTCTCTTGGATTGGGAAAGCCCAGCTTGTGTTTTTGGTTGAGCCTTTCACTACGCTTGCCCAGCCACGATTTTTCATCGTTATTGTTGTCGTATTGTTGTGCCTGTGCTTGTGCTTGACCATGCTTCGTTCTACTGAGTATGAAAGAAAGGGCGCGCTATGCCGCATTAGTATGAGAGGTAGGCCTTCACTCTCCCAGGTTAAGTGCGTCCCCCTTTTCCGCCTTAGTTTCCCCGTTAAATGAATCAAGGGAGGCGACACTTAGCATAAGCATAGTGCACGCCGGATAGTGAAAAACTAGCCTTAAACATGCACGGTAGGAGTGGCCGCATTTGCACGCATAGCCACAAGTCACTGCGCTCGCCTTCCTTTCGGGTGGAGCTTGGCGTCCCTCTCGTGCAGCCTCGTGATCGTGTCTGCCCTGTTGTAAGTCGTGGGGCCTTCATTGTCGGAGAAGATATGGGAAGAACTAGAAAAGCAGAGAAAATAAAAATTTACCCCGGATACATGTGTAGCGGAGAAGAGCTAGATGCTGACGTAGTCCATTGACTACAAAGGGGCACGAACGTAACACAAGGCGCTCTTGACTTGCAGCGCAAATAGATGAGTAAAAAGGCACAGAGAAGGCGCGACAAAGTAGCGCCCATCCTGTGACGCCGTCACTGCACAGGAGCAGCACACCACTGCGCGAAGGGGCCTACGGTACTATCCACAGCACTGACTTGGGCGGGTGCCTACAGTAGGCCGCTGCACCGTCTGCCCGCTTTCATGTCAAAGGCGCGCTAACTAATAAACGCGCCCGCCATTGCTGTCTTCTAGGTGTAAAAAAGTTATACAGTCGAGCCTCCGGGGCGCGTCCGCAGCCTTCAGGCTTAGCGCAGAAAGGACGCAAAGACGCCACGCCAGGCATGTCGGGCGGTGTCAGGGATGACCTCGGAAGGGCTCTCGCTGCAGTGTTGTCGGCTGGTCGCAGGGAGTGATGGGCAGCGCCCTTCGGTGGCTCCATCCGTAAGGCGGCCGGCAGAGGGTGTTAGAGTCCTCAACACTAATGGCCATCCATCTTGAGAGGAAGGGCCGCCACGCTATCCGGCTCTCCTGGGAAGGCCAAGGCCTCTCTCCTCATTAAGGCGCTGGCCCCTCTCCTCCTGGGATGTTGATCACTAGCGGAAGCCTTAAGAGTGAAATCTCCTGCCTCCGTCCTTGCTCTTTTCCCTGTCGTCCTGCTGCTTAGCTGCGACGGCAATGTCGAAGCAGGTGAGCCCACACATTAGAAGGGGACTGCCATGCGGGGGCTGATCGATTCTAAAGGCAGCCCATACGGAAAGAACTACAATCGCGGAGGGGCTGAAGGTGAAAGAACTAGGGAGCGGAGGCCTTACCCCAGGCGTTAGAACTAGGGCGCCGCCGCTGCCTTAAGGGCCCTTACAATCTACAACGAGGAAAAAGGGAACAGAGACACCCGGGAAGCCTTAAGGCGTGCCCTGCGTTGCTTACGAATCCCCAGGCGTCGCGCGCGATGATCCGCAGCCGCATCACACACGCCGACTGGGCTTTGTCGATGGTCTTCGCGGGCCATGGCCATTTCGGCTCTCCTTCGGGTGGCCCAAGCCCGCGCCAGTTGCGGCTCCTTTCTTGCAGGGCGTGGCCGTTGGCTTCCGCTAGGAATTTGGTGAATGACGTCCGCGGAAAGTGCTGCCCCTGGATGGCTCCTGTGTCCTCGTCTTCGCCTTTGCCTTGCTTCGTCTTATCATGCTGAAGCTCTGCTCTCCACCCAGCGACAGCGCCTCGAGGAAATTCGATGTGCTTGTCGCGTAGTAGGATCCCGCCTCGTTTTGAGTCGTAGCACACCAGCGCGCTCGATTAGAAAAGTTCCTACATAAATCGCCTGCCCGTCTTCCATCAAGTAGATCTCCCAGGGCAGGCCTGGTCTTTACATAGACAGTCACTCAGTACTTTAGTTTACTTTATTGCTTCACTTTACTCTACTTTACATGACTTGCCTCGACTTTGCTTTACTTTGCTCTACTTTGCTTTACTTCACTTTACTTCACTTTAGTCTAAAATTGAGTTTAGTCAGGCTTCCCTTCCTCACTCTCCCGACTTTACTCTAGTGCCCCCTTTTCACTTTGTTTACTTTCATTTTACTGCAATGTGCTTCACTTTCCTTCGCTCTACTTTCCTTTCCTTTCCCTTACTTCACTTTACTTTGCTCTACTTTACTTTACTTTACTTTACTTTACTTTACTTTACTCTACTTTACTTTACTTTACTTTACTTTACTTTACTTTACTTTACTTTACTTTACTTCACTTTACTTTACTTCACTTTACTTTA